CGGCCCTGCCCGCGCCCCGCTGCGGGCAGCGCGGCCGTGGCTGCCGAGGAAGGCGCGCTGTCCGCTCGCCTCTCTGTCAGAAACGCGGTCGCCGTACGGCGCCCGGCTTCCCCAAGCAGTACGCGCGCAAAACGAAGCTTTCGTGAGGTAAAAGGGGGCAGGGAGGGGTGAAAAAGGCGTTCGCAACGCTTGCCACGTGTGCCCGAGCCGCGCAACGTGTGCGGCGAGAGGTACGAGGGCATGCCCGTGGTGATGGTGCAGCAAGTGGAAGCAGGGACCGCAAAAGTTACGTAAACTGCGTTACTCATTATCAGTCCCTCGGTCTTGGGGTGCTAGGTTCGTGCTTGCCTTCACCCAGTGTCACTGGGAACTGCTTTTGACAACAGTTACTGCAAACTCTACCATCTCATTTGCTTATCCCTGCATAGCATGCGTGGTGAAGCAATCATTTTGAAATTTATAGGGAAGTAAAACGATACATCTGTTAAGGAAAAATTTCACAAAATGTCTGTGACAGCGGCTTTTCTTTTGGGTCTGATATCAAAAAAAAACCGTGCGTAAGAGTTCCTGTTTGTGACTTACAGCAGGCATTTGTTAGCATGTATTAGAAGTATGATCACAGACCATAATCTCTTGTTTTCATGGGGTTGTGTGTTCTTGTTTGGGAACAAACTTGCACACTTTTAATGGTGGAGGTTAATTTGTTGTCCTGGTTGACCTCTGGTTGGTCCTGCTGCATCATTTGGAGAAGCTGCTGCCTCAGTGGTATGACCAGTTCCAGTGCTGGTGGTTGTGCCCCCCCCCCCGCCCCCCCCCCCCCCCCCAGTAGCTCAGGGGTTTGCATTGGTACGAAGTCTGTCACCTTCCCTTGAGCAGCCACTGACAGGGGGTTTGAACTGCTGTGTGGGGCTGTGAACTGGAGCTGAGGAGGCTCCAGCACCTGTTGGCTGTGTGACCCCTGCAGAGCTGGTCACAACTTGTCGGTTGGCACCTTGTGTCATACCTTTGGGGAAAATCCCTTTGGCCACCTGAACTGTGGAGTGTGAAACTTCCAATTTGGAGGCTCCTTGCAGATGAAAGGATGAAAACTCTGTAACTAGGTAAAGATCTAATCCCAAGTGAGGAGCAATGATGTGGGTAGGACTTCTAACTGCAGTGGATGTTCCTGGCAGGAAGATGGTCTTCTGCACCTCAGTAGGCTCAGATACTTAGTGTATGAAACAACTGATTGATAGGATCAGCTTCTTTGTGGTTACCAAGAGTTGCTTAGACTACTAAAAATTTCAGAGTGAAAACATGAACCTAAAACTGATGTGCTTATTTTATTTTCTTTCTGTTAGGCGGAAGGTTTTGAATATACCATGTAGAGTTAACTGCTCCTCTGCCATTGTTGTCTCTCAAAATCACCACATTATCCCTTTATGACCACCTTTCTGCATTCTCTTGTTCTGCTATGGCAGGGATACATAACAAAAGAGAAATGGAAATACTTATTTATGCCTGAATCACATAATTTAATCTCCTCATGCATGGCCAGTTAATCTGCACTGGAAAAATACCAGTTTGATTCTTGGCACCAAGTGCTGTTGATGACTTGTTTTTCTTGGAAGAATTAGACCAAGAAAAAAAAAATTCTAATGCTGCTGTTCACTAAGGTTGCATACTTTATTTTGTCTTAACTATGGTCAGTAAAATACATTCAAGTTATCATAAAGTGTCCTTGGATTTTCATGATACTTTGAATAGATGACTTTTGTCATCTGACCTAAAATAGCTACAGTAGGAAATGTTTCAGCCAATCTGTTTTTGCTTTAGTATACTTCAGTTCATAACTTTTAGTCATACATAAGGGGAAAAATAATGAGTATGGATTGAGCCCTCACTATTTCCTTCAGAAGTATTCGTGCAAAGCCATTGAGCAGGCTTCACCAACATCTTGGGTGGCCTCTACTCTCTTCCTTGGCATTTATTCCTGACAGTACTAAGGGACTGAATACAGTGCAATGTAGCAATGACTTTCCAGGTGCACATTGCTTCAGAGGTAATAGGAGATGTCTCTGTTTGAGTCTATTTTAATTGATGTGCAATATTCAGGTATGTGGCAACTTTGGTTACTTCCATATAGGTTGGAAGAGGACAGCCTTGACAGTAGAACTGGAGCCATTCTAGAGACTTGGGAACTGTGAATTCAGATTGAATTAAGTTACTTGAATGGCTTGGCCTGGAAAATATTGGAGATAGACTTGTGTAGCAGCTGGAGAAGGAGGTGTCTCCTGCTTGTACCCAGAAGTTCAAGTGTATGAAAACTGACTACAAAATATGAGAAAATACTTCGTTTCCCTTGGAAACCTTCTAGCACAACAGGTAGAAGCTCAGAGTATGGTACTGTTGTGGTTTAACCCTAGCTGGCAACTAAGCCCCACACAGCTGCTCACTCACTTCCCTCACAGTGGGATGGGGGAGAGAATCAGAAGGGTAAAAGTGAGAAAACTCTTGTGGGCTGGGATAAAGACTGTAATAGGTAAAGCTAAAGCCGCGCATGCAAGCAAAGCAAAACAAGGAATTCATTCAGCACTTCCCATTGGCAGGCAGGTGTTCAGCCATCTCCAGGAAAGCAGGGCTCCATCACGCACAAGGGTTACTTGGGAAGACAAACACCATCACTCTGAACGTCCCCCCTGTTCATTCTTCTTCCCCCAGCTCTATATGCTGAGCGTGACGTCATATGGTCTGGAATATCCCTTTGGTCTGTTGGGGTCAGCTGTCCCAGCTGTGTCCCCTCCCAGCTTCTTGTACACACCCAGCCTGCTTGCTGGTGGGGTGGTGTGAGAAGCAGAAAAGGCCTTGATTCTTCATTACTGCTGAGCAGTGCTTACAAACATCCCAGTATTACCAACACTGTTTCCAGCACAAATCCAAAACACAACCCCATACTAGCTACTGTGAAGAAAATTAACTCTATCCCAGCCAGAACCAGCACAGGTATGGCCCATGGCTAGTGTGTGGAGTTGTGAGATGGGAGATTAAGTTCAAATTTATTCTATACCTGATAAAAAGCACTGATGTAGATCAAAGTCTTCTTATCCTTCAGGGCAGTATCCTAAGAAGGGGACTGACCTTCAGGGAGCAAAACCAAATTCTTGACTAATTGTTTACTTGACACTGATGGGGAAGCCCACGTTTCAGTGGTTGCTTTAAAGACAAGTACATATAAAAAATATGTCACTTACAGTCCAGAGATGATTTAAGCAACAAAATCAAGTATTTTCCTACAGCTATGGTTCAGCAGGTGTTCCAGCTCCCAGCTAAAGCCTAGGGGCCCAGTCACGAGACACATTTTTAAACCGAGTTTACAACTGGCCTGTTTTTGTTTCATTTGCCTCTTTCTAAACAGAAGCTCCATGTAATCTGTGGAAGTATTTCTCTTTGATTTCATGGGCAGTGGCAGCGGAATTGGCTATCATCTTCCTGAGAGGTGATGAACTCTTGTGTATGTTCACTATGCCTCTGATATAACTGTGCCTTTCTCACTAGTCTGAAAAACAAATCCCAGAACCTGTCTTAGTAATGGAAATGATCTCATCACTGCCCTAGGTTATAATAACGTGATGTAGTAACAGAATACTTTCAAAAGAACTCTCTCTTTTTTTTTTTTTTCCTTAAAAAAACCCAAAACACAACCCAAAAAAACAAAAAAACCACCCTGGTATTCAGACTTTCCTGAGGGCTTTCATTTACTGTTTACCTCAGAGAAATGATACGAATTTCCTGACTGTACCAATTTCCAGTAGCCTGTGTGTCAACGTCTGGAGCAGCGTTACTCAGCCCATGGTGCAGGGACAGGAGGTGGTGTCTAGGAGATGTGAAAGTGGTCCACAAAGCAGGAGCAAACAAAGTACCAGAAAGCTCCAAAAAAAATATTCGGTTGTTTTAAACAGGTTGTAGGGAAAGTAAAAGTAACTAATGAACATTTAAACTTTAGCATAATTTTTTAAAATGGAAATACTGTGGCAATATTGCAGGTGAGAATTGGTGGACTTTCCTTAGAAATATCAATTAGTTCTTCAGCATGGAAGTATTGTATAGAATGAGATGATTTCTCCAAAAAAAAAAAAAAAGACCACAGTGTTGGTGAAGGAAAAAATATCAGACGTATATTGATAGATGATGTGGCCATCACTGTACAGATTTTATTCGTTTTCTCTAAGGTTCATAATGAAAGCCATGAGCTGTTGCCATTGGTAACCTGAAGCCTGTGTTGGTCCTGTATCAGCTGGCAGGTTTGGCTGGGGGCACGGACACTGCAGTTTTTCTCCCAATATGTTATCCTTTCCCGTAAAGATGGTTGCTGAGATGACGCTTTCCATCTCAGCTCATGCTTTTGCTGTGTGCTGGGGTTTCCAAGACTGTCGGTGTGTGCAGTGACGGAAGCTTTTGAGATCTGGACTGACAAATAGAGACGTTGTAGAAGTCAATGTGTGAGTGAGTTGCCCAGACTCTACAAGTAATCCCTGGAGGAAAAACAGGCGCTTCCAGGGTAAAGTTAATGTGATTCTAAAGCAGATATCCAACAAGCTACATAAATTCTGTGCTAGAAGTGCCTCTCTGTCTGCTGGCTAAGCACGGATGAAGACTT